AAAGGAACAGATAAATAGGACCTAGTAACTATTATTTAGCAGTATTGATGTAAAAGACATTGATAATGATCTCATTTGCTGTTATAATAAATCTTTGAGGCAGGTGTTATTGGTCACTTCCAGATAAGGAAGCCACATTCAGAGGTTCATTGATGTACCCCCGATCACACAGGAGATTGGAATCCTAGTCTGACTCTAAGTTTGCATACTTCCTCCTCAGTACTAAACCTCCAGGCTGGGAATAATAAGGAAAAGACAGGAGAAAGGTGAAGAAAACAGGCTAATGGACAGAAGGGGGCTGAAACTTCTCTCAGAAGGAATAACATAAACATTTAATGTCAAGATCGTAACGATGAAATGTGACATCATCATTCTCACCGCCAGTGCCAAAAGCTATCCTTAATAGTGGTTTGGAACATTTCATAAACACGTGTTTATTAGAGTATCTAGTTAAACATTCACCAAAATGCTACTGGTTGAGCATGAAAATGTGGAGATAAATCCAAGCTAATCCACAAACATGGCACAGATAAAGTAGCGTACAGTACCCCGAAGAAGTAGAAGCTCATCATCGTTTATGTTTATGTCGATGAAAACTCATCTCCTTGTTTAGAAAGCCATATGATGTTTCCCAATGTGTGATATTACTGTTCAAAACTCTACCAAATGAATGCCCAAATCATTCTGTAATTATATGGCAGTCACTGCCTTGTGACTCTGTGTATCCCAGCCATCTTCCCACAGGCTCTCCGAAAGACAAACCTGATGTACCTTTTGGGTCAAATGTTTTTCCTTGTGCCCCGCTCCATTTTTCATTATCATGGTGCTTGGCACTACTCCCCTTAATCATTGGTTTGAGAGCGGGGATGAGATCAGCCTTTCCTCTATTGCTGAGGCCAACAATCATGGCTCCCCTGACTTAAAGAGAAGCCAGTGAAGTGCACTGCCACGTGTCGCGTGCCTCACAGTTCCCTTCATCTTAGTTCTTCAGTGGTTCCCGTGAACTCGGGACGGGCTTAAATTAGAGCTCATGGACTATTTTCCTTAGTTCTGCAGCACAGAGCGGTGATATCTGAAGGAAAACAAGTTTGGTGGGGTTTTGAGATCAGAGACAGGTAACTGTGACAAGTTTTCTTTAAAATATAAGCTTTCCTTAATTCAACCTAACCTGAATAAACGATGCTGAGAAATCCACACTCACTCTCTGAAAGCGAAAGCTTTTAGGTCAATTTGCCGATGCTCAATTCACCTGTCTGTGCAGCGTAGACCTGGTCCAGAACTTTAGGTGAGGAAAAAAAAAATCATATCACTGGGAAGCCCGGCGTGAGCACTGAGCCAGGCCTCTCAATTACCCACGCAGGAAAGAAGTGTTATCACCTCTCAATTACCCACGCAGGAAAGAAGTGTTATCACCTCTCAATTACCCACGCAGGAAAGAAGTGTTATCAGATGCCATGGATAGAGGTAAGTATTGAATGAGAAGAGTGAGTCTACATGGTTATTGAGATAAGATTAAATGGCGTCTGGCACCCAGACTCTATTCGCAACAGGATTCTGTTTTGTAAGATTCTGGGTAGCTCACAGCCACTTTTTTTTGACATTGACTAATTTTGACATTAGTGCGCTGGCTTTGCAGAGCGGATATTAACCAGGTTGGCATCTCAACATTGAGGAGAGCTTGGGACTGAGAGATTACAGGTAAGCAATTGGCAGAAGGCCCTCAAAGCTGTAGCACCCTAACCTGAGTTACTACCTCCTTCTGGAGGGTTGTATCCCATAACCTTCCCAGCCAAATACTCCCCTAGGACTGGTCTCAGAGTTAGCTGCCCCAGTAGTACAATGTGACGAGTTTAGAGATTCGTAGTCAGTAGATCTGCCACCCACTTTATCTCCCCTGACAGGAAAGTCTGGTCAATGTCCCAATGCCTTTTTAATTTTTTTGCGTGTGTTTTATTTTAATATTATTATTTTTTTAAATTTTTGTCTCTCCGTTCCCTCTTCCTGAAACTCCTTTTCCCCAGGTTTTAGTAGATTCCTAGTGGCCCTTCAAAACTGAGTTCAAACTAAGTGTCAACTCCTCAAGAAGCCTTCTATGCCCACACAACTGCCTCAATCTGATTTAGAAGTCCTTTGCCATTCCCCCAATTCCTGTAAATGCCGTTTAGATCACCTTACACTGCCCAGCAAAAAAAAAAAAAAAAAAAATTCATATTGTTTGTGAAAAGCCACATCTTATTCAACTTTCCTCAGCCCAAACCTAGCACCATCCCTGGATCTCACAACAGAACTGGGAACATGTGTTTACACAATGTTTTCTGTGCCCATTTTTCCATCTGTGAGAAGTTATAATATGTATATACCGGGTAGGGTTTATTATGAAGCTCAAACCAGAACACGAATTTACGCGTTTTCCATCTGTGAGAAGTTATAATATGTGTATACCTGGTAGGGTTTATTATGAAGCTCAAACCAGAACACAAATTTACGCAAAGTGCTTAGAACTATGAGCTCTTGTCATTAAATATTTGTGAAATTAAAAAATAAATGTAACTTGAGTAAGCCAGTTACTTTAGACAGAATGACTTCTACAAAATGGAGATAATTTCATTTTTTGCAGAATGATAGTAAGGATTAAATGAGATAACACAGTTGACGAATATACTTTGAAAGCTGTAAAGGACTAGTTCAAAACTGCCATTTTGGTTATTATTACCTAATAAATGATGTGAGGTTTCTAAGCCAGAACTCAAAGAAGACTTTTTAGTGTCTAATGCGTGGGTTGCCCAAGGCTTTACACAAGTCTTGGGTTTCTTCCTTAACTCTCCGATACTAGTCACGAAGGACAAGGTACAGTTACATGTACTATGAATAAAAGTATGGGAATATAGACCCTAAAGGTCTATGCAGAATTGGAATACTACCCACCTAAACAGAACCCCAATGTCCAAAGAACCTGGAGCATTCTAGGGACCTAGGATATCCAATTATTGCTGATTGATTCTGATCACATCATAAAAATCTATGGAATTCAAGAGCTGGAAAGAATTTTTGAAATTCTAATTTCAAATTTACTCCAATTCCCTCATTTTACTGATGAGGAAACTGATGTCTATGGCCCTCAAGCAACTGTCTCAAAACCACATATCACGCTAGTGACAAATGACTCAAGTCTCCTAATTTATAGCTTATAGATTTATATAAGTTTTGCTTATTTCATTTTTCCACTATGGTCATTTTAGGGCAATGTTTAGGAACAAAACTGGGTTCGAAGTCCAGTTTTACCATATAGTAATTCTGTGACATTGAGTTGTTGAACTGATCCAAGTCTGTCTCTTCATTTGTAAAATAAGGATCATAATATCGCTTTTAAAATGCGCTGTATGATAAAAGAAGTAATATCTGCACATTAGGTAGCAAAACCTGTGCCTAGTACCTGCTTCCCCCTTCACTAACCTCCTATACATTGTACTGTTCTTTAAAACTAAGCAATGGCTAGAGACCAAGACCATATTGTAAAAGATCTCTTTTGAAAAAAGCATCTAAGAACTGACATTTGTGAAGTGTCCTTTTGGTATTGAAGTGGTTAAAATAAAACCCTTCTTTCGTGTTTAAAATCTGGCTGCACCAGCGTTCCCATTTTCCACATAACGTGCCCTTCTCCGTGGCTGCGGTCACGTTTAGCAGGGTATATAGTAAAGCAGTGTATAGCACAGTGCTGCACTATATCTCGTGTTTGCTTTCTCACCTCTGTGCCTCTCCTACCAGGTACAACAGGCTGCCAATTCTAGCTACTGCTTTATCCGTCCTTCGCTTTCTTCTCAACCGTTGCTTTAAGAATGTGTCTTGTATGCGGACAGCTCCCTTTATGAAAACAATATAGAAACTGCTCCGCAGTGACCTGGGCTGTCTTCCTGGAGGAAAATCCTTCTGTCACGTACCTGGCTGCATGTCTCCCCCGGCCAACGCTCACCTCCTCCCCTACAGGCCCCTTAGCCGCTTACCTGGCCACCAACTTCTCGCCCTCTGATACCTGGGTTTATAAAGCCGCAGAGCCGGACGGAATTCTAAAGTTGGGGCGTGCAGCCACCCCCACCGATGCCCTGGCCCTCCCCGCACCAAAACCAGGCACCAGGCCCAGGGCTCTATCCTAAGGGCAACAGAACTTGGCTGTTTGCCTTCAAGGGAGGCTCGGTCCCCAAGACGCGGTAACCCCGAGCGTCCCCCGCGGTTTGCATCTGCGGCGGGGGACGAATCCCGGGAGGATGCACAGGCGGACAGCCTGGAGCACTCAGGGGGCACAGTGCCCACAGTGGTGCCGTGTTTGGGAAGACACGACAGGTCCTACTTAGCCTCAAACTCTGGGTCCAGACATCCTCGTAGTCCCTTGACCCCCACCCACCCCACCCCGAGAACCAGGAGCCACTTTTCCAGCCTCTGCGCGGGGAGCAGGACCCGGGCACCAGGAAGCCAGGGCGGCGCGCTCTTCGCCACCCCAGCCATTCCAGAGCCCCCCTTGCCAGCCACACTTAACGCTCTCTGTCGCGTCTGGAAGAGTAGGCGGGACCGGTACCCTTATTCCGTCGCTCCAGGGCGAGGGGTATGAGGTGGAGAATGAGGAAACCTCGCGAGTTAAAAGGGGTTCAAGCTAGCACTCTTGTGGGGTCTCCCTAAACCCATGTCCGGGAAAGGGACTAGGCGCCTGGATCCACAATCTCCTTACCCCACCCCACCCCCACACACAGGAGCACGGGGCGGCTGGTCGTCCCCATTAGCACCCCATGCGCTCACCGACCCGCGCGCGTCCTTCTCCGACCGCGCGATCGTCTCAGGACCGCCGCAGGCAGAGGGGGTGAGGGGTGTGCGCACCACGTTTCCCGCGTTCGCCCAGGGGTCCCCTCGCCCCGCTGCCGAGGAGTGCAGCCCCCGCCCAGGTCCCCGCAGGCGGCCAGAGCTGTGCGCGCCGCCTCCTGCCGCCGCGGCCCGGGGCCCGTGCCGCTCACCAGATGGCCATCCTGCTCTTGGGGTAGTCCAGCCGCTCCAGGCAGCCGAGGAAGCGAGGCAGCGCGTGCGCGGCGTTGCGGGCCAGGAGAGCCACCAGCACCGTGGGTCTCTGCAGCGGCGACTCGGGGAAAACCCTCGCCTCCTGTTCGTCATC